TTATCGGGAGCAGTGCCTTCCATAACTAAACCGCATTATCGGGAGCAGTGCCTTCCATAACTAAACCGCATTATCGGGAGCAGTGCCTTCCATAATGATAAACAGTGACGGTAGTTTTTGCCTACCATTGTGTGTTTTTTGTATACGTGTATTTATCGAGAGCAGTGTCTCTCATATTTCACTTGAAAAGTGGAACAACTTATCGGGAACAGTGTTTCCCAGAGTTTTATACTTTATTTATTTGTTTTGTGTGCATATAGGTATTGTCCTTCATAGAGTGTGTGCACTCTTCTGGTTCCTACTGTTTTTGTTTGTGCATACATTTCCTCTTTAATACTATTTCTAATCATAGTGAGCCTCATCTGGGCAGGATTGACAGTACAGGTCGAGGTAGAAAATTAGGACATTATTCCAAATGGTGCATAAACAAAGTCATCTAGATGGGGTGGTGGGAAAAGCAATTTGTCATTTGTATTGGTTATAAATCAGCTAGGAAAAACTCAATACTCACATTTCTAACTTTTCAATATGAATTGATAGTTCTGTGTCTATAGGGTTATTATAATCAGTAGGGGCTCATAGCCAATTAGGTTTAAATTATGGCACCAATAAAAGTATACCAGTGTCAGTACCTGCATCAGATTCACAATTTTGCTCTTTGAGTTTAATCAGTTTTTCTTAATTTAATCAAATTGTAACTTGCTGATCCTCAAGGAGAAGTGGTTGGGAAAAGGAGAACGGGGCTACACACCTAAATTTACCCTGCAGTAGCATATTGAAGCTTTTACAGGGTCTCGCTCTTTTAATAGCTGTGATGTCTATAACTACATTATTACTTTAATGTAACTTAACCTTGAAGGATAGGCAAGCCTATTTTAAAATTCCGACATTTAATTGACATAACAGGGAAACTGCTGCTTTCATTATCATTTTTTATTTTTATTTTTTAATTACCTACTGCCTTCCCAGTGAATCCAGTCCATATGAGGCTTTTACTGCTTATACAATAATTCTAAGCACTGGAGGATGTTGAAATGAGTGCACTATAATCATTAAAGTTATAGCAACAAACCTGGTCTGTTAGCCTTGTGACCTCAAAACCTCTTTTCTTTGTTAGTGACTGAAAACACAAATGAATTCACTTGCATGGGTTTTCTCCTCACTGCATGTTACTAAAGTATAGCTCAGAGTGGAACAATATTACAGTTTCACTTGTCCAAATGAAATTTATTTGTGGTTGTTTGATCATAATTCCAACCTTTTGAATTTTTATCCCTGAATTAGTAGAGTTGTAACCGTCAAGTTAAAATGTCATAAATCAGTACAGGATATTAAAAGCTACTAATCGTATCAAAAGGATCAGTCACTGAAAAACTGTTTCATTATTTAAGCGATTTCATTAGTTCAGCTACTCCTGTATTATCTTGCACCCATTACAAGAATAAGTTTCTCCACATCCTGAACTAGAAATGTGATCATTAGAAAATTTGTTTTGGCTCACTGTATTGCTGAAAAATACTGAGACTGATTTCTGTACTTCAGATGTTGTTGATATTCTTTATCGTGACATCCATGTTCAGTAGAAAATTGTAATAAACCCTTTGGCTTAGCATAAAGACTGTCTCCTCCTTCATTGTCTTAATCCTTACGGTTTCTGTTATAGCTAAAGGCAGGTTCAGCTTTGAGGGGTTTTTTTTTTATTTATTTATTTTTTTTTTAGTTTTTCTCCCTCTTCAGATGTTCAGTAAATCTTCAATTTACTGAACTAATTTTCTCATTAATAATTTTAAATTTCAATCATGACTGTAGCTTGTGTAAAATAATTTTAAAAAGACAAATTTGTTTTTAGAGAAATTTTTGGTGTACCTCAAGAGTTTTGCAAGCAACCCTACATCGGACAACCGATATAAATCAAATACTTGCCTCCAATTTAATGAAGTAATGGTAAAGTGTGTAAAGAGGACGTAAAAATTAGCGGGAAATAAAATTAACTTCTGTAACGTGTGCTTTTATTTTGAAAGTTGGTTTTCTAAACAAGATGTGCTGTTATTTTGGTGAGTTCCGTCTTCTGACGTGTCGTGACGCTCTGAAATCCCTGCACGCTCACTGGGAAGCGTCCCGGAATTAACGGAGGAAAGAGACGGAGATAACGGTTCAGGTGAATTTCACAGATACCCGATAAACGGCACGGCTGAGTACGGCGGGCAGAGTGAGGAGTGACCGGAGGAGAGGGACCGTCCCCTCCGGAAAGCCCGTCGTTTTAGGTCGGTACGATGGGGGTCATCTCTGTTGCTCTTTCTTGGATATGGTTTTTGTGCATGTTGTACCAAAACAAACACGTCAAGTTCATAAATAAAAAAAATTACAAGCGAACAATAGCGGAAAAAGTATAAAACAGTGTGAAAAGGGGGTGTAATATTATTAGCCTTGGCTCTTCATTGTATTGGGACGAGTGTGTGTCCACTTAGGGCTAATCAGCTTTAGGCTGACTGACTGAGAAGATGAATTAAAATCTTTTCTGCTCTCAGCATGAGAGAGATGCTATCTGCTTACTCTCAACTGTTTATCTGACTGATTTAACTTTATGTGGAACTTTTACAAAAACATAAAGCAATCTTATCTTTAGTCACGAATAAAGGGCCAGCCCACTATATGTACATGTGAGTTTATCAGTGTGCAGCTGCACAATAGTCTTGCAATGTCTGGTGTGGTTCTGCAGGGCAGGGATGTTATTTTACACTGTGGGCCGCATGCAGCCCACTTGGATCAGAACAGACCTCTTTCTGTCAGTGTAAACTACACGTTCAATCTGAGATATCTCAATATAAGAAAAAAGAAGTGCAGTTTCAGCAGTAGGGCACAGTTTTTCTACACAATAACAAAATGCTGTAGTAAATGAAAGTAACCGTTACCACTAAACTTTGGGCTTAATTTGTAAGAAATAAGTAAAAGGGTGAAATTACAGAAAAAGTTCTGGGCACAGACTGTTCTGTGGTTACAAAATGTATTATTTGTTTTGAAATTTCAACAGTCGATAGTGAAAAAACAATAACTTTTATCTGATTTAAGTCTTTATCTACTATTTAAAGTCCAAAACTTATGTATCCTTCACATTTTCCAAAGCCTTCCAGGGGGCCTGAGCTTTGCCGTAACGATTCTGGACCTGGGCCTTAGTTCTGACACTCCTGCTTAAGAGGACACATTAGACACTACCATTTAAGTAGAGAAAGATTACAAACACAACTACCAAACACATTCATTAGTCATTTTTGGACTAGAGAGCATTTGTCAATCAGCCAGTAAAGTAACAGCTGTGAAATGCAGAAAATCCTGTACACTATGAATTCAAACACACCTCCTGCCATATGTTAATGAGATGCAACAGTGTGAAAGACTGTCTATGATCACTTGAATTAGTATTCAAACAGTTAACAATTTAACCCCTAAAATAATCATTTTACACTTTAAAATCTTTTTTTAAAAGAGTTCATTCTCAAACAATTGACTTTCTACACTCTTTCTCAGCGATGAGGCAGCAGGTCTGTCTGAGCCTCCCCCGTGGTGACAATATGGGCAAAGCCTGTTCCTGCGTGCTCGTTTTCACCTCCTGCACAATTTCTACCGGCTGTTGCTTCTGAGAGTTTTTCTGCTGCTCTCTTCACAGCAGCAGATGGAAATTTTTGTTGAAGTGTTTTGTTTTTTTCCTTTCTTGTTAATAGTTTTGACGCTGACTTGCTCTCCGTCTCTCTTTAACTTTGTGTAGATGTGGAGTCCCTTCATCCATGGCTGCAGCCAGATGACCTCCAGTGACTCCACCAGAGGACCCCTGCAGGGTGCGACAGATAAGCCAAAACATTATGACCGTTCACAACCAATTCCATTAAATGCCTCAAAGTAACTGAGGGTGGTCTCTGCTGCCTCAGGTTACCTTTAGAAGTGCAGATCTTTATGGTTTGGAGCTGTTTGGACTAGCACTGTGTGTATTTGGAAGTTGGTTATAGGAATAAATATTAATGTACATTCTCAGTTCCTACTAATTACTAATGCCTCATCTCTCTCAACACATAGAACCATCAGATTTCGATTCACTATGCAGTAACATCTAGAAAGAATCTGATTGTTCAGCTTCATTTATTAGCATGGAAATTATTCCAAATACACTGCATACCTGGATTGGAAACATACAGTTAAACATTATGAGTCATGGTTTGGCCTCCCCAGTAACATTATTGAAACTAGAGACTTCATAAAAGAGAGACACGAGACTCAACAAATCCTGAATATGAGAAGTTTGTAACTCTAATAATGGCCGTCAACCTCACCTGTCTCCCAACAGCCAATCATATTGTTGCACTGACATATATCCATTTGTTATGGAAGTAAAAAATCAGCTGAGTGTCCTTATTCCTCTCAGCTTCCTGTGTCTATGGGATGAGCCATGAGTCATTGATCATATCCTAACTTTGGACTGAGCTGTTAAAGAAGCTGTAATGTGTAACTTTCAGCATGCGTGGTAAAGGTATAAGCTAAAGCTAAAAAACAAACAAACTCGTGCAATATTTATATCCTGCTGACCCTTGAAAGTGAGCTTATGGTTCTCATTCATCCAT